ATAGACAAGCTTGTAGCCACTCAACGTCTCAATCTTTAGGAAAATACAAGTTCTATTGTGTTTGCGATCTCAGGTATGTTTTTATGGGGCTCTCAAAGAGTTCTGCAAGAAGAAGCCAAGCTTGCCTTTTGGGGATTCTGGATTATTAGTAATCCCAGAATTTTTTAAAATTTGTCTTTTATTTTGAACTCGTTTCTGGATTATTTTCAATCTCGCATGCTTGTTCAAAAGACAAATTTCCTAAAAGAGTTTAAGATAGATTTTTTAGAGGATAAAAAGATAGCAGAAGTCCTTTTCTTAGTAGGAGCCTCTAAATTTTTGGGAAGTCATTGTTTAAGCCTCTAGCTTTCTCGGCTTCATTTGGCCGCACAGACTATTGTCTTCGTCTTGCTCATCGTTTAGGCCGCTTAAATTGTTTTCACTTCTTTTTGCGTTGAACTGATGCTTTTGTCTCAGTACTGTGTACATCAGTTCCAATCAGTTGGGAGGTACTGTTAGAGTAACTGTATCTTGGCTTGAATGCTTTTGGTTTAGTGCCATCTTGGCTTGTATGCTTTTGGTTTAGTGCCAGGAATATCCTTCTACTAGTGAAATAATCCAAACCAACTTTGTTTGATAATATTGGCCACTAACATTGACCCATTGCGCCAAAAGGTTATCAAGTTATGTTTCTTTTTTCTATTTATATTGACAACTAGATATTATATGTCAAAGGAAACGAAGAAGAATAGTTAATTTTGAAAAGGGACAATAATTCATATACTATACATACTTATGTGAAAGAAGAGCAACTGTGTTTCATATGTTATCTTAGTAGTTTCTTTTCTTTGTTTTTTGTTCGTGGGTTTAAATTTGGATACAAGGTTAACGTTTACATATTCCTATGTTTAGTGAAGTGAAGCAAGTGTAAGTGGCTCCTTGACATTAATTTTCAGTTCACGGGGGGTAGGGCGTGGGAAAAAGAAATTAAGGGATAAGTGACTGCCAGTTTCAGGGTTTGAATGCCTTCTTTTCTTGTATATAAATTCTAGTATGCCTTGATTTACTTTTAGAGTAACCAAATATTCACACTTCAGAAATTTGTGTAGAGTAAGATGCTACAGCTACCTGTTACTTTTAAATATTGAGTTGGTGCGGTGAGGCTTGTTATCATTGATGATCTTTCTAAACATGTTACCTTGTTTTGCAACTCATTGTTAAGGTCTGAAATTGCTTGGAGAGATGCAAAATATGCTCAGATATTGGAGTACCTTCGGGAGGAATATGAGGTCTCACAACGCTTTGGGAACCTCAACTTCAAACTAAAGTTTGTCGAGGTATTAATCTCCCATTGACCTATGCTGTTTTACATACCTTGCCAGATCCATCTTATTTGTAGGTTCTCTTAAATTTCTGTTGCTTCTTAATGTTAATCATAGGGAGCACAAATTCCTTGTTTTAACATGACCTGGTATAAATGGGACTTTTCGGAGGAAAAACAAGTAATAAAAAATCATCTGGAAGTAGGGAAGGATATTGCTGACTTAAGTTGTTATGACACGCGTACACATTTGCATGCGCACACACACACACGTGCATGTATATACATTCAGGCGTGAAGCGACAATATTAGCTACGAGTTCGGATGAATCCAGTAGCTTTTGCATAGACCCTGTATTTATATTACAGGATTCATTAAATATGTACAAATATTTAATCGCGAACCAAGTAACTAAAATGAGCTATAGGTCCGATGGTAAGTTCAGAACCCATAAAACTTCAAATCCTGGTTCCGCCTCTGTATACATTAAGATGGTCTTAGTATGTTCCTTTTAATGGGATAAGATATCAAGCAACTTTGGGTAGTTTCCATGACTGTTTATGTTCTTTTCAACTTTTGCTTGCTGACTGCCAATGTGAATGTAATGATAAGCAAGCTCTATAGGTTTCATAACATTATGTCTGGCGATTATTTTTGTGATTTCACTGCTTCTATCTCTGAGCGAAATTATCTTTTTTGCAGCATAACATTCATTTTCTTCAGGAAGTTCTTCAAAATAGAAAATCAGATCTGCTAGAATGGTGCATCATCGTCTTATTGGTCGTAGAGAATGTAGTATGCATATATGAGATTGTTCGGGATTCAACTGCAATTCCCATGTGAACAGAACACAACCATATTCAATATCTCAGTAGCCAATAAATATTAACAGTGAAACATAGTAGGATCGATATAGCGATATTTCACAGAAAGCAACCACATTTCTGGGCATTCATATTGCAATTGTTTTATAATTTGTCCATCTTATACCTTTGTCTTTTGCTATTTCTTAACTGAGATGTAAACATATACATCCATACGACATCGTCATGAATTAGTTACGATGATCATTTTTTGTCGCAAAATTATGTTTATTTAACCATGTCAGATTCTATTTTTTCTTTGATAACCGAGAAATGTCCACCAATTGGCACATGGTTTGAAGTTCAGCACTTTATCTTTCTCCACTTAAATATCAAAAAGATTTGCAGGCAACTCAACCGGTTCGAGATCAGGAGTTTCACTTAATCTACATATCATGTGTTGCGCTTTTACCATTGATGATTGAACTAAAGACCTGAAAATATCAGATACGAAATAATGAAGAACACCTGTAAAAGTAAGTGTTTTATATTTCATCTGAGGTGGTATCTTTAAGAATTTCCTCAATTGGCTATTAATGATAATTAGTTCTAATTTGAAGTAACACTTAAATTTAAAAGCATTATACCATCGCCCTCTTTACTGTCCTAAATCATAAGACGAAATGAATGCAACTACTATACAACTAAAGAATCAAAGAAGACATAGCACAAGAAGCTAGCAGATAATATGGCAGCACCTTTCCATAAAGGTAACGTAAACTTCAGTCACATCTACATTAACATGTAGGGAAACTTACACAAATGTCCCAAATAAATTTCAACTTACCAACCTCTAACCATTAGTCATAGACTTACCAAAACTAGCCAACAAAAATTGAAAACCCAAATAATAGGGTTCTTTCTATCAAATAATCACATGCAAAAATCACCTTACATATTTTTAAGCGTGATTAACAACATTAGATACAAGACGGAAAGGAAATTTCATGGACGGGGTAGCAAATAAGGTGATGAAATACAAAAATCTATACAATATTCCAAAAATCTAAACAAAAAAGGAACTTTTTCAATGGGTATAGTTGAAATTCATTGAAAATATATAGATAAGTCAATATACAAAATTTGAGGAAGATTGGAGGTGATTTGGACTGGTTTTGTATCAAAATTCGTAATTAAATCGAGTTCAAAAAAGTCTTCTGCGACACATGTATCAAACATGTATCACGCACAGGTATACATGGATATACTTGTGATACACAATTGATACAAATATGATACATATGTGATACATAAATGATACACATATCATTTTTTTTCATGTTCAGCTTTTACTTCGAATTTTCAATTCAAACCACCTCAAAACTTCACCAAATCATCCCAAAACTGAGATTCAAGCTTCTTAAGTTGTGCCCAATCTATTCTAATAACACCCACTCAAAACAAAGCAAAAATTTGATATTTTTTGTTACAAATAGCTAATTGGCTAATTTGGCTAATATTAGAATATTTTATCAATTGGCCAATTTTTGTAATGAGCTACTTATAAATGGACATAGCTGGTAATTTCCCTAACACACCTTATTAACAAACAAAAAAAAAACTTTAAAAGCTCTTTTTTCTTGTATTTTCTGATAAAACTAATATAAAAAAATTAAGTAGAATATTTCCAACCATCACTGTCTTTTGATTACGTAAAAAAGATAGGAATTAGATAAAGTTGACACGTTTGTCAATGAATTTTTTTTCAAAACGTGTTTGTCCATGAAAATTTGTAATTTTTTTGAAAATAAGTTTTTGAAGAAAGTTTTCAAGTTTTAGAACAAAGTTTTTTCCCCACTCACAAGACTAGAATATTTTTTTTTTTAAGTGAACTGCATGTGCAATAATTTCAAATTTCAATTATCATTTCTCAACTTAATTTCAAAACTTCTTTTTTCCAAAAATTACAATTTTTATTTCCAAACACCTACTTAAAATGCTGCATGGAAGAGAATGGGAGTGCTGACTACATTTGAAAAAGAATAGCAATGTTGGCTTCCTAGTTTTTTAGATTTGACAAAAAGACTTAAATTTATCCACCTTTCATAGATAAAGCCAAAAGCATCATCCTATTCACAGATAGTTTTTCTATTTCATAGTGAAGAGTAAATGAGTGATAGAGAGAAAGTTGTAAGGTCACAGATACTCAAATTTATGTTCTTTTTGTTTTTCTTTTGTTTTTTCGTCCATCTCTTTCTGCTTGTTTACAATTTCTATTTTTACGTTGCATATTTCCTTTCTGTCATTTAAATGTAATAGGATTGGCCATTTCAAGTAATCTCTCATCTGTTCCCTCGGATTCCTAATGATCTTGAAGTTTTCCGCGGGGGAGTAAATTTGAGATGAATTTATCCCAAGTTTGGTTTGGAAAAAATCGCAGCACACCTAATTCTGAAATTTGTTATCTCGGGATTGTAGTGTTATTTTTATTCCTGTGGGAGGGTGAGATAAAAACGCGGGATACCTAATCCCAGGATAATTAATCTTGAGATAACTTGCTTCCCAACCAAATGACCCCTAAGGGCTCGTTTGGTACGAGGGATAAGATTAATCCCGGGATTAAATTTGAAATGAGTTTAATCCCGCGTTTGGTTGGTTAAAATCGTGGTATAGCTAATCCCGGGATTATAGTGTTTTTTTATCCCTATGGGAGAATGAGATAACTGATCCAGAAATAATTAATCATGGGATAACTTGTTTCCTAACGAAAGGAAAGGAAACCTAACCGTACAAACTTGCTGAACAGCACTTTGATTGAGGTTTTTCAGTAGGCTGTCATTCAAAAGACAATTATAGAGAGAACCATCTTAGGAATTAGTCCAACAACTCAACAAAACTCCCATAACATGAGGCAACTGAATATGTTTCTTCAAATATAAGCCATAAATATTATTTCAAGGTTCCAGTAGCAATTCCAGAAAAATATACTAGACCTCTAGCCATACAGCTACAATTACAATTTAGTTGAGTACACTAAATTGCTAAAAAGCATTTTGCATTTTCCATGTTTGATGACTTGTAACATGTTTCAATATATCCATTTCCGGAAGTGTTTCTTGGAGCGATTCTGCTACGACGAGAAGTGAGCAAGAAACCACCAAAACATAGCCTACTCAAAAATCTTTTGATTGTTGAGGATTCATTCTTGTATGACTAATCCAACTCTCAAAACTCTTTAATTCTAATTGCGTCGCGAGGAATGTCATAAGCTTCCCTTGGCCTTGATTTCTTTACACCTGCAGTAAACCAAACCTTCTCTGACTTGTAGCCTTCAACAGACACATTTGTGATCTTCACCCATACTAAGACTTTGGTCTTCATTCCTTCTATGCCTATAAGCTTGTCTCTTAGTAAAATGCATTTCACCCTCGTAGCGTACCTAACCAAAGTGCCGTCCTTGAAGGTGATCTCACATGGTGAGGGAAGGTAAATGGTCAGCTTTGATTTGGAGTCGTCTAATTCAAAACTAGTTATGTTCTGAGGGAAAAGGCCAGTTGGGAGATTGTGTTCTCGTAGAAGATCTGGCAAACTCTTCATAGGCGTTCCTGAGTAGGGGAAAAGAATTTTTCTTAGAATGCATTTTGCTGCTTAACATGAACCAAACCTATGTTGCTCGGACTCTCTGAAAATATTGCCAGGTGCATGTCGGATCCTCCAACAGTATTGCATTTTTGGAGAATCTGACACGCGTGCGGCAGCATTTTGGAGAGTCCAGGCAGTATAGAACCAAACCTACTATGTACTTGCTCAAACCAATATGCCCATAAGAAAAACTATGATACTGAGATAAGTGACTACAAGAATGTAAAATGAATATGCACCTTTTAACTTGTTAAAGATCCACTTCGCCTTCTCTTCAAGGGTACTTGAGATGCTCTGCAACAATAAATTGATCATCGAGTTAAGTGCACTTTGTGAAGGTAAAAGAGATCGAGGTTGAGCTCAACAACAACAAAAAACCCAGTGCAATCCCACACGTGAAGTCTGGGATGGGTAATGTGTACGTAGACCTTACCCCTACCTTATGAAGGGAGGTTTTGAGTTCAGTGTTTGGAAAATCAGACGACAGTACAATCTCTTTTTGATGATACAAGCAAGAGTGTCAATTGATGGCTGATAGAGAAGATGAAACCCAAATAAAGCAATCGAGAATCTGATTCTGGTTTTAGCATGTCAACTGCGAAGATTTTTCTTTCAAATGCAATGCCTACATCTATATTTAGCTAAGATGGACAGATATGAAAGGAAAAAAGCACCTAAAAAGGAAGTGTCTTCACATTTTACCTAAGCTGGTAGCCTAACCAACATTGAGCATATATTAGAGACCTTGAGATTGTTGATCTTTTTTATTTCCTATTAGGAATTTTCCACAAATGGCCTAATAATGAATTAATGATCATAGTTCTATATTTTGAGGATAAGTACTTAAAAGCTCGATCGCCCTATTTACCATCCTAAAACATAAGAACAAACTGAAAGTAACTACTTTAACAACAAGAACAATTACGCCTCAGTCCCAAATAAGTTAGGGTCGGCAACTAACCATGTTTCTGCATATAAAATGGACTAATACACAACCCAAAAATCAAAGAAGGCATAACTGCAAAGAGCTAAAAAAAGGTCACCCCGGTACACAAAGCATCCCGCATTTACGCATGGCCCGAGGAAGGGTCGCACCCCTAGAGGTGTGCTATAGATAGCCTACACTAATGCTTGACTGCTTCCACGGCTCGAACCCATGTAGGTACCACAAACCTGACTTTAAGTACCTTCCTTTTTCACTTGTATTTCTTGATAAAACTTCTAACACAAAGTTTCTTTCTTTAAAAAACTTCTAATACAAAGTAAGCGAATTGCGGATGAAGACTGCAATTAGATCCATCAAAGGGTTAAGTAACAAAATTTCTGGCAGTTGATGCATAAAATGGCTAAATGCAAAACTTGTATAAATATTAAACTATCTATGAACAAAAAGGGAACTGAAGTTAGAACTCTAAGATGGAGCAACTCATCTTTAGAAATAAGTTAACTCATCAAATTTAATTTCTCAATTGTAGCATAAAATTGCTAAATGCAAAGCTTGTATAAACATTTGTCAACGTGATGCATTAGAATTTCTCAATTTAATTAAAGTTTCTCAATTTAGCAAGTAGGCAACCAACACTCAAGAACATAAGGGGGGCAAAGAATTAAATGTTCAATTAAAAAATGAGCAAAAGGGGTTAAGTGAATACAATTAAAGAATCAAAATACTAAATCAAGAATGTCCCAAATGAAGTAATAACAACCAAAATCAAGAAAGGTGAAATCTTGATTTTTTTTTTTTTTTAATGAAGAAATTGGGGAAACATACATTGATATCTCCAGAGATATTGCTGAATTCTTCTTTAGCTTTCTTGGTTAGCCAAAAGCTTCCAACTTTAATGCTCCCAACTTTAGTTAAAGCTTTCTCCATTGTTAGAAAAACTCCTCTTCTTGCTCTTTAGCTCCTTCAACAGAGCTGAGCTTAGCTTCAGAAGTGTACTAAAGAGTGTGAAAATGAGACAAATATAATGTGGTGTGCAGCTGTACTTGAAATCGGCGTTCACTTTGTCCAATAAAGTACACAAGTGAAAATAAAATTTAGCATTTGTTACCCCTGAAGTTTTGGTATGGAGCACTTTAACCCTCCGAGTTTTTCATAGTGTCTTGGAATTGGAGGCAGTGGAGAAAAAGTGAAAAGAAGAAGAAGAAAAAGGAACCCTTTTTTATCCTTCTTTTATGTTTTTGTATTGGGGAAAATTGTATTTATATATATATATGGTGACGTGTCATGACACATAGACTGGTCAAACAGTCAAAGAATTAAGGTTGGTTAACAGATACGAGCAACAACAGATACGAACAAGTTAAATGGAGAAGGCACGAGCGGTCATACAAGTAATTCAACGCTCGTACCTATTCAAGACATTTAAAGGCCAAAGATCGTGAAGAGTCAAAGGAATGAATCTGACAGCAAAAAAGAGCCCAAATACAGCATTTAATGAGTATTAAATACTGGAAACGTTAGAGAATATGTATTTAACGTATATGATTGCATAACGTAACATTTAAAGTCATTAATTGCCCATAATTGTCTTATTATGACAAAGGTAAAGTCTGTATTCCCAAAATGGCTATAAAAGGAAAAGTCACAAACAACTGTAAGCACGAAAAAAATACTATTGGAATATACTTTGATTTATTTGCTTTCTGATCATATTATTCACAAATTTCTTTCTTTATATACTCTTTTCCGATTATCAGTAACCCGTGTTCTTCTAAATTCAAGCTTTGACCTAAAATCTAATTTTTGGTTAAACAAATTGGTTCCGTTACCGGAAATCTGATAATCAATTATATCTCAGCTTGATTTTCTTTGTCGAACAACAATGACAATATCCAAGGAAACCCAATCAATCAGCAAAATCAGGGAGATCCGCAAAATGATCAAACGCCACGAGACTCACCACGACAATCTCTTGAAGGCACTCCTGAAGGATCTCACACAGAAGAACGGGGTCAATTTGAAAATGCTGAAGCTATGGATGATGCCTTACAAAAACTTATCGCTACTCAGGTCAACAAAGCTTTACAAGCTTTTGTTAGTCAATTACTTGCTGCTCCACCCACACCTACTCCAAATAACAATATTTTGGAGAACCCTCGTTCTGGACTGGTTAATTCAAGCAGCGGTGGAACCCCCAGTGAAACACAGGAGGGAGACCCAGGTAATCCAGTTAATTTTGATTTGGAAAATCTAGTGCTAACATTGCAGAAACAGCTTAGGGAGCAAAACGACCGCATAGAACAAATACCCAGAGTACCACCCGTGATCAAGGGAGTAGATATAGATAAATATTCTCAACAGCCATGGAAGCCAAGTGCCGCCCCTCTCCCAATTCCAAAGAAGTTCAAGACGCCCGATATTCCAAAGTATGATGGGACAACAGACCCACGAGATCATGTTACCGCATTTACAACAGGAGTCAAGGGCAATGATTTGACTAAGCGGGAGATTGAATCAGTCTTGGTCAAAAAATTCGGTGAAACACTCACTAAAGGGGCACTAACATGGTATTCTCTCTTACCTGAAAATTCTATAAATTCTTTTGCTGAGCCTGCAGATTTATTTATCAAAGCACACTCGAGAGCTCAAAAAGTTGAAAAAAGAATGGAGGATATCTTCAAATTCAAGCAAGGAGATTCAGAGCTGCTCAGAGAATTCGTGGATAGATTTCAACGGGAAAGAATGACATTGCCACGAGTACCTGACAATTGGGCAGCCATAGCCTTCACCAGCAATTTGAATGAGAAGAGTTCAGAAGCCACGAGGCGACTCAAGGAAAGCCTTCGAGAATTCCCAGCAACAACGTGGAATGATGTCTACAACAGATACAGTACAAATATGAGGATTGAAGAAGACATTATTTTACAACATAAAACAGAAGAAAAAGTAAGCTCAAGGCGTGTGGAAAATGAAAAGAGATCCGGTAAAAACAGTTACGAGCCTTACATGGGACCTGCGGGAAAGGACTCACGGTCAAGGCAAGATAATCAAAGGTACGATCATAAACCTAGAAACAGGGAATCAGGCTCCTCATCAAGGTTCGGGAATGATCGGAACACACGCGGGTCACGAGACGATGATGGAAGTCTAAAGGCAAGGTTCGGTGGTTACAACTTCAATGTAAGCACCTCTGAACTCGTAGCTATTTTAAGAAGCATGGGAGATAAGGTACGGTGGTCAAAGGAAATGCGATCGAATCCAAACAGACGAAACCCTGATCATTGGTGTTAATTTCATAACGATCACGGGCATAAAACAGCAGATTGCAGGTTTCTGCAAGGTGAAGTTGATCATTTGCTAAAACAGGGGTATCTCACTGAGTTATTCAGTGAGAAAGGTAAACAAGCATACATGAAGAACAGGCAAGAGCCTCCAAAACCACCTTCACCCAAGAGAACTGTCAACGTTATAAGTGGGGGTGAAGAGATCAACGATGTATCATATAAAAAGGTTTTAAAAGTAACAACTACCCACGGGAAACGGCCTCGACATGTACTGGAAGAGGAGAATATTATATTCAACGACACAGACGCCGAGGGACTCTTAACTCCGCATAACGACGCACTGGTAATATCTTTACTTGTACATGACACTAACGTGAAACGAGTTTTGGTTGATCCAGGTAGTTCTGTAAATATTATTTTAATACGAGTATTGCGCGAGATGCAAGCGGAGGATAAATTGATTCCAAAAGCACATACTTTGTCGGGATTTGACAACTCTAGTGTTGTAACGAAAGGGGAAGCAATACTTACTACATTTGCAGAAGTTGCCTTAAAGATACCAAATTTCAAGTCGTAGATATGGAAATGGCTTACAACATGATTCTTGGGAGGCCATGGATTCATGACATGGATNATTGCAAAGAAATATTATATATATATATCTATATATATATATATATATATATATAGATATATAGATTGCCTTATATAATTTCTTGTAAATATATTATAGAATTGTGACTTAAATCTTATTATTCAAATTTAAACACAAAACAAAATTGCAAAGAAATATTCAAGTGCCTTATAATTTTTATTATTACGACATGAACGAAAATGGAAATATATTTCTTAGTCTTCCTCCCCCCAATGGAATGAGCACAACAAGGTCTAATACCACCATTAAAAGGAAAAAAAAAAACTAATGAAGATGTGCCAAAATACAAGTTACATACTAGTCTACATATTATCTCTAACAAATTTCATAAATCCTTCAAGGTTCGGAGGAATTTCTGTTGGTGGTGGCGGAAAAGAAGCTTGTTCATCACCGCTTCCGGGCGGAGCAACATCCTCCGCAAGTTCCGCTAGCATTTCTTCATAAGCTTCGTCTATCTCCGGTTGTGATTCAGCAAGTCCAAAATTTCTTCTTTCCGAACGGATCCAATCTCTGAAGAGTACTGATTTTTCCAGGCTCTCCCTAATAGACACTCTATGATCACCGATTTGAAGTCTCGCGTGACTGAAAGCGCTCTCTGATGTCACTGTTGAAGCTTGAAGACATAAAATATCTCGAGCCATCCTTGGAAGAACCGAAAAGTGTTTTTCTTTGTCCTTCCACCATTCCAAAACATCAAAGGTGCCGTCTGGATTCTCTTTTTCAAGTCCCTGCGACAAATAAACTTGAAGCTCATTTAGTTGTGAAGTATCACCAATATTATCACCTTGAGAACCCCTGGACTCCGTCCAAGAACTAAGTGTTTTTAGGCCCGCAGTTCTTTTAGATGATTGCGAACTAGACGAAGTTGGAGTTGGAACATTTAGTCTAGCATGATCTAAGGCAAGTTGATAAGAATTATAAATTGTTTGAGTATTTATTTTAATTGAGACTTTTGCATCTGCAAGTGTAGAAAATTCCTCATCAATCCAATGAGTGATTACAGTAAGATAATCACAGTCATTACCACTTCTACCAATATCAGTAGTAATAGCAATGCGACAATCTATATGAGTAAATAAATAGCGCTAATATTGTTCATATTCATGTTTATATTTGTAAATATTGCTCTTTACGGTTGCGCGAGGCCATCCTTTATAAGTAGGATTATAAACTCTTCTAATATAATGCACAAAGTGAGGGTTAGAAGGAAAACTATAGGGTAAGCACATAACTGTATTGGGGAAAATTGTATTTATATATATGGTGACGTGTCATGACACGTAGACTGGTCAAACAGTCAAAGAATTAGGGTTGTTTAACAGATACGAGCAACAACAGATACGAACAAGTTAAATGGAGAAGGCACGAGCAGTCATACAAGTAATTCAACGCTCGTACCTATTCAATACATTTAAAGGTCAAAGATCGTGAAGAGTCAAAGGAATGAATCTGACAGCAAAAAAGAGCCCAGATACAGCATTTAATGAGAATTAAATACTGGAAACGTTAGAGAATATGTATTTAACGTATATGATTGCATAACGTAACATTTAAAGTCATTAATTTCCCATAATTGTCTTATTATGACAAAGGTAAAGTCTGTATTCCCAAAATGGCTATAAAAGGGAAAGTCACAAACAACTGTAAGCACGAAAAAAATACTATTGGAATATACTTTGATTTACTTGCTTTCTGATCATATTATTCACAAATTTCTTTTTTTATATACTCTTTTCCGATTATCAGTAACCCGTGTTCTTCTAAATTCAAGCTTTGACCTAAAATCTTATTTTTGGTTAAACAAATTAGTTCCGTTACCGGGAATCTGATAATCAATTATATCTCAGCTTGATTTTCTTTGTGGAATCAACTGTGTCGAACAACAACGACAATATCCAAGGAAACCCAATCAATCAGCAAAATCAGGGAGATCCGCAAAATGATCAAACACCACGAGATTCACCACGACAATCTCGTGAAGCACTCCTGAAGGATCTCACACAGAAGAACGAGGTCAATTTGAAAATGCTGAAGCTATGGATGGTGCCTTACAAAAACTTATCGCTACTCAGGTCAACAAAGCTTTACAAGCTTTTGTTA